CGCCAGCAACACCAACAGAGAAGCAAAATGCATCGGTAGTGTCGGAATCGATCAACCGAGACATTCCTCGTCGCACGAACATCCGCCTAGCGTCAGCCGACGATTCGGCGAAGCCCTTACCGTGGGCCCCGACGTGCACGAACCCGTATCGGTTCGAGCTCGATGTTAGATGATCCGCGATGGTGAGGTAGCAGCTGGTGCATGAGAACATGAACTCGTCGGTGTCGCCGGCGAGGTGGTCGATCGCACGAGCCATGGCTCGGATTGAGGTGACGACCGGGAGTAGGGCTGATGCGATGCAGACGTCGCCGAGCGAGCGTTTGTAGGCGCCGTGGAACGCGTCGCGTGCGGAGATTCGAGGGTGTTGAGTTAGATGGGTGTATGCTATGCGAGATATTGCTACGTGCACGAGATTTCTGATTACCTGCAAGTCGGACCGAAACTGTTAGAATGCGTAGATAGACATGGGATACTTTGTAAAAAATCAAATCAAAATTGTTTCTGATTATAACACTGCGGATGTACACGTTTGGATAATGGAAGTATTAGAAGTAAGAAGTAGCTTATAGAAATAATTTTCAAAGCTATGAAGTAGGAAGTACTGGAAATAGCATTTTTTTTTTGTTTGTTTCATATATTTTTAGAAGTAATGGAAGTAGAACTTCTTATTTTTCATTTACTTTTTTTGTTTGGATAACATTTGGAAATATTATTAAGAAGTAATTTTATCAATAAAAAGTTGTTAGAAGTAACTAATAAAGGAAATATTAATAAAAAAATTATTTATGTCATAATTAATATGCATTTCAACTACTTCCGAGCTACTTCTGAGTATTGAGGATTAGAAAAATATTTTGGAAGTAAGGATGACACGTAGGCGCCACATAAGCATTTAGAGAAGTATTGAAAGTAAGTTTTTCAGAGAACCAAACACGTTTTTTTGCTTGAAAGTAGTAGAAGTAGCCTCTACTTCTTTTACTTCAGCTACTTCACAATTACTTCCGTGCAAACAAACATGTGACTAGAAAGTGAATTAAAAACGTGTCATTGTGTTTTTACTTTATTTTTATTTTTTTTTACAAATAATTTTCACATCTACATCAGCAGGCAAGTGAAATATAGTGTCTGTTTGAAAAACAAAATTATATATTGATGAAAATGCTAAAGTTGATATGGCAAAATAGGATTGATTATATTAGTAAATAAAGTCAAAATTATTTAATTAAAATTGGCTATCTTTTTGGTATTTTTTACATGACTTCACTACTTTTTTTAGGGAAATTCTCAATTGCATTATATTCTATCTAACAACATTCTTGCATTTCACTTGTGTAATCACGTAAACAAACACCTATAGCGTTAAAAGCAAGTCACTTTCTCGCTTTCGTCTTTCATTTGCATGCAAACAAACACCAGCTAAAATAGTTGTATTGTGACTAGCCAGTTTTTCAGTTTATTTCTGCCCCTAAATCGACTACATGAGAAACTATCAGTTTGCGTCCATATTTCAATAAGTAAAATGGCTAAAAACATCTAATGGTGAAAGAATAAGGTGGAGAGAGAGAAAAAAGGAAAAGAAAAAGAGAAAAATGAGGGTAACAAAAAGATATATAGACGACTACTTTGATAAAAGTTAGAATGCATAATAGTTATACTATTTTAGTATCAATCTTTCCAAAAGTTGAGGGCAGAGATTGAAAATAAAAGAGCCAAATCTACATAGAATCCAGAGATATCACACATCACACCACCAATTGCTTACTTTATAGATACTTTTTATTGGATTCGGATCCTCTCCACTACAAAAAAAAAAAAAAAAAAAGTGGAGGGACCACTACATAATCACAGTCATTGATTATCTAGTTAATGATTGTGAATTTTTTAGTGCAAATTAGGAATGAGTGCAATACACGTGGGTATGGTAAATGTTAGATTTAGATTGTATCATAACCGCCTACTAAATAATCAACGATTGAGGTTAAAAGTAGTGGTCTCTCCACTACTTTTTTTGTAGTGGAGATGATCCAAATTCAGAGATATCACACATCACACCTCGAATTGCTTACTTTATATATACTTTTTATTTACTTGTATTTACTACTTAGAGCGCCATCAAGGTACCACGCCAGAGGAACAAAGCTCGGATCCACAACTGAGAGATAGTAGGTAACCCGTTGTTCTGTGCATAATATGGCATTTAATTCTTGTTAATTATGTAACACCAGTTATATATACTTACTAGGGCAGCTTGTCTTGTGTCAAGTGCAACCGAAACTGTATCACTACTTAAGCTTGATCAGCACCATTAATTACCTGCATTGTCCAAGCCAGGCTTAGCAGAAGCAGCAGCAAATAAACCGCATCAAAACGCTTGTCACCAGCGGCAGCAAGAGCCCCAACCCCCAAAGCCCAGAACCAACAATACCCGACCCCAACCAAAACCGCACCCGCAACGAACTTGCCGACCTCAACACAAAACTTCACCTCACGGACCGAACCACAAAGGATTCTCCTCGCATACTCAACGCTCGGACTAATCCAGCACGCATAGAACCCCATCCCAACACCCAAAACAAGCGCGGGAACGCCGACGGCAAAGCTAGCTCCGGCGCCGTAGCTGAGGAGGAGGGCAGCTGCAATGCACGTGAGGGGAGGGGAGAGCCAGAGAGAGGTGGTTAATGATTTTGAAGGGTGAGCTAGAGTGAAGAGGAGATAAATGAGGGCGATGAAGGCGGAGAGGGAGATGGAGGAGAGGAGAGGGATGAAGAAGGGGAGGGGATGGAATGAGGGGGTGCGAGACAGGAAGCCGCGGAGGGAGAGGAAGGAGATGAGGATCGAGAGGCCGAGGAGGTGGAGGAGGAAGAGGAGGTTGAAGATGGTGCTTGTTATGGTTCTCGGCTTTGGAGGGTTTTGGTTTGTTGGCGCTGGAGTTGCATCCGCTACCTGCGAAATTTAGAGCAATGGTAAAATTATGGGGCCAGTTTAAATGTAAACTTAACGAACATTAAGTTCTAAATAGTCCTTAAATTAGATTATATATATTTGCATATCAAAGAGCATTAAAGTGCAAAATTTAAAAATTCCAAGATTTAGGGGCTGTTTGGTTGAGTAGCTTTATAGAAAATGACTGATAGTGGCAGTTTTGTAAATAAAATTTTTTCTTGAGATTTTTGTAAACTGTGTTTGGTTAAAAAAAATTACAGAAAAGTTTTCTATAAAGTACAAAAAAATACCTTATTTTGTAGAAATCAATTTCCGCTTAAAATGAGGGAAAATCACCCAGAAATCTGAGACATATATTAAAAAAATAATTAAGTATATCCTTCCCATGTGATTTCCCATGGGCATTGTTAGTAAGCTATTTTCTATAAAGTGACATCCAACCAAACAAAAGAACCATGTGATTTCCCATGGGCATTGTTAGTAAGCTATTTTCTATAAAGTGACATCCAACCAAACAAAAGAAAAAGAAAACAACATATTTTCTATAAAGTGACATCCAACCAAACAAAAGAAAAAGAAAACAACATATTTTCTATAAAGTTAGAAACTTCTTCATACTTTGAACCAAACAAAGAAATAGCAAAAAACAAGAAATATGATACTCTTTTGAATTCTATAGATTTTTCCTACAAATTTTATAGAAATACAAGGAAATCAAAATTTGAGTGCTTTTCTTTTTCCTCTTTTTTATAGAAATTGAACCAAACAGCCCCTTAAAAGTAATACAAGTGTTGTCAGAAACAAGTGAGAGTACATAAGTGTAAAGTCGGACAAAGTATAAGGTATCCAAATGCTAATTAGCCATAATTAAAAGTAATTTTTAGAGAGTATTCAGCCAAATTAAACTATGTTAATTGAATGCGGGTTTATGATAACGCGGGTTTTTTGGGCCAATAGAATGGGCCACCCTCCTTTAAACATAAGCACAAAAAGAAAAGGATGTGATAGGAAAGTAAACTAGCTAGTTTGGATAACGTTGCGTTAGGCCTAAACTGAACCAGACTTAAAACTACTTAACCTACCCAAACCTACCAAACATAAGATAATGCTATTTAATAATTAATAAATAAAAAGAACTAACCACTCCAGCCCCTAAATTTCTCGTGTCATCATCAGGGAAAACTTGTCAGGGGACCCCTACACCTTCAAGAGAAGAACTAACAGGGCTTCACCCAAACAATATTGTTGAAAAAAAAAAAGACTTCATTGAAACGATACGAGGTTCAAAACATGGAACTGAGATACGTACATAATTAAACCTACTAAATTTTCTCACCTGCGCTGGAGATATCTGATTAGTCCTCGGAGCAGAATTGATGACCCTGCCATTTTCTCTAATCAACCCCAATTCTCCAATTTGGATATGTACGCTCTCCCGCGGCTTCGCCATTCTCTTCTCCTTGCCTATCTCATTTCTCCCCTTTATTTTCACGCTCTCTCTCTCTCTCTCTATCTCTCTGCAATCTTCTCTTTAGTCTCTTTGTTGTACTTCGTCTTTTGCTTTCTCTTTCTCTTTCTTGGGTTTTTTGTCGCTTTGGAGGACAAATTGAGGAGCTTAGCGTCTAAAGCTCACCTAATCTCGTGGGTCTGTATAATAAACGACTTTTCTTTTAGTATTTATTTATTCGTGGGAAGAACTCAATTAGCTTTGACCACAAGTTAGGTTGACGTGGCCGGCAAAATCAGTGACACGGCAGTAGAAGTGAGGTTGTCCTGAAAATTTTCCTAAATTTTTGGGGAGTCGACGAGCTGGGATTTGGTTCTCCTACTCCACTGCTCTTTTTTCCTTTGTTTTTTCCCACCCTTCTTCTTCTTTTTGTTAATTTTTTACTACATTACTACTGCTATCATCAACTACTAAGCATACAAGCCAACTACTAAACTTGGTTATCTAGCCGAAGTAGCTTTAAGAAAATGGAATTTTAAAGAAGTTTAAAGAATCCACTAGTTTAGGACAAACCTCCGACCTCTTAATGAGAAGAATTTTCATCAGGAATGATCGATTTCTTTGGGGATGATTAAGAGGAAGTTGATTGCAAAATTGTAATGTTTTGTGTATAATTATATATGTAGATTTTACATTGTATGAGGTTGGAATTATCAAAGTATTTGAATAGTTGGAGCGGGTAGGGTTTAAATTGCTAGAATTCATCCCGTCACCATCATCTGATGGGTATTTTGGCCTTTAGGAATGATTTTTTTTTAAAATATACTCTACGTCATAGTTTATGCGTCATTATCTCCCAAATTATCTATATTTAAAAAGTCCTCAAAATATTGATTTAATTTCAATGTTACTTAAAATATATATAGTTCTAAAATTAGCCCTCTAATTTGCTTAATTACTGATCATGTGATTCACTAGTGATCAGATAAGAAATTAAATACGATGAAATATCATTATCATAAGTTTAATCAAACAAGAACGCTCACTTTTTATTTCCATTAATACTCTAATCAAAATACTTCAGAAACGAAAGCTAAACATATTGATCAATAACCAACCACCAATTTGTCTTTACCATTACACAAAATTTCAAATAAAAAAAGAAGAAGAAGGAAAACAAAAAAAAAGAAAGAAGAAGAACAGCCTAATCTTCATCATTCAAAAGCATGAAAGCTTTCTCTGAGCATAAATTTCAGTAGGGGTCATTATGCAGCATCGCTTTCCTCCTCCTCCTCCTCAAGCTTGAATATCTTTTAAGTATCATGGATTCAAGAATCTCCGCTGCCTTTGCCTTCCCCTGTAAAGCCGCCACCTCCTTCGCCACCGCCTTCTTCTTCTGTTTGGAATGAGAGCATTTTTTTTTCTTCATTAGGCTTATAATAAAGAACTTTAAATTCAACGTGAAAATTGATCCTCAGGCACCTGCACCGACATTGAGAGAAAGCTATCGAATAAAAACTACGTTAAGTTGGAATTCAAGCGAGAAATTAGAGGATGGTAGTCATATGTGAAGAAACCGCGAGAAATTGGTGAAGAACAGGTTTTGGAAGCGTAGGGGAACTGTTTGGAAGCTGCGCGATCGACCGCGAACGTGCACAGACTCTAGGAGGAGTCTGGATTTGACGCGGTCGACCGCCAGACCCTGTAAGTGATTTTAGGCTCTGTCGTTGGTCACGGTCGACCATGTCGGTCGACCGCGTAACGGGTCAGGCCCAGAATTATTTTCCTGTTCTTATTTGATTTTGGTGTTTGTATAAATACCAATACACGTTCTAGGGTTTCTTAAGGCAAGAGTTTGAGATATTTGAAGCACATAAAAGAGGTATTTTCTGAGCTATTTGATTAGGGTTTATTTGGAGAGATTAAGAGCTTTGTTAGTGAGATTAGTTTGTTCCTTTGAGCGATTTGTAATCTCAAGTTGTACTCTCCTTCTCTATTAGTGAAAACTCCATCCCCTTCTTGCCCCGTGGACGTAGGCAATTGCTGAGCCACGTTAAAATTGGTGTTTTGTTTGTGCATTGATTTTGGTTGGTTTTGACCCTCGTTGATCGGTAATTGGTTTGGTTCCTCGACACGGTTTTCAACAACCATTTGGGTTTTTTTTCACCAACAATATGAGGGTCCCAAGATAACGAGAGAGGGGATATTTCATATTTTTGAGGGAAAAAGTAAAACTATGTTTCCTTTTCCTGCTTGGAATCGGAGCACTAAACAACAAAAACAAAGCGATTCTGACCCCTACCCGGATAAGGGCCTTTGCGTAGTTTATTTCAAGACAGAAGTAGAATAAAACATGGGGTTAATTGCACCTAGACCCCTTCCTAACTTTCTGCATTCGCAGTTTCATTTTAGCATGCAGACCTCTAGGCTAAACATTTTTGACTCTTCTACCCTTGACAGACTCACTGGTTCACCATAGGATGAAATCTTCAAGCCAAACGAAAATCTCTTCTTTATGCAAAACCATGGGGGAAATGAGCACCAACGATTTGAATAAATGACTGTCCTGCCATCAACGCTGAATAATTTCTCCTACTTGTCGAAATTGAAGCCATATCGTGTCTATAATATGTCATGTGCAGATGCATTGTCGAAATTGCAGAGCGTCCCTGGATCCATACGACATATTGTGCCTATAATATGTCATGTGTAGATGCAATGCACTATAAATGACATGAACTATAAACTACCACAATTTAAAAATACCTGGATCGATCATTTTTCGTGGGGACAACGGAACCGGACGGATAAGAGAAGGGATAGAAAGAATCCATAGAGAGAACAAAAAATTATACACGGAAGAATGCATTACATCAAGCACCCTAGCCTGAGGCCGAGGGTGAAGTACTTATAAATGAGTCTGTGATTGTTTACATAGTGCTTATGTACTTATTATGGGTTCTCACGGAAGCTGTTAATGGTACACGACAATGTTGAATAAATGAAAAAGGAAATCTTCTCGAGTTTTATCCTGTCATCGATGCTTAGCGGGCAATATAAGTGCACGCGAGGTAATAGTCCTGCACTTGGAAGTTGGGCATCTTCATGTACTCACAGCAATAAGACCTGAAGTAACTCAAGTCAAGACAATATACAAGATTGTATATATTTAGACAAATAGATGCACGTTGAAGAATAGACTTCAAACTTTATAATACGGATGTAAAATAACATAGATGATAAAACAAGATGGGTTTACTCAATAAATAATTAGAATCCAAGGTCATTCATGAGGTGGCAACAAAAATTATAAGGCATAATGTCAAATTCTGCAGGGCCAATGTGATCTTCATGAATAACTTGGGATCAACTGACCGTCAGATTATGGAATTTAGTTATAGCCGCTGATATATTCTTTTTCTGCAGAAATTATGTTTAAATGAATTAGTCGCTCTACCCAATACATTTTGCTGAGCCCTACTTGCAGTTTATAACAAACCTAAATGCTAAAGTATAAAGAAGCATTTAGTTTTAATGGACTTTGATAAACCGATAGAATGTTAAATGATATAGCATAGGGAACATCATAGACAAAGTATCTCAAATTTGGGGTCTGCAACTCCCGAATGTTAATATCTCGTTAAAAAATATACAAGCTGTCATTATTTGGTATTAAAAATTGAACATACCGACGGAAACAAAGAAACAGTGATAACTTAATAGACTCCAACATGACCTCGCCCACCACATCCTGAACACATGATGTTTCCAGTGCCTCCACAACCTACACCATCAATTAAGTCAGGTCATAAGAACAAATTGAACCCCAGTAAAATGAAAGAAATAAAAGATGGAAACACTAAAACAAATTAATGATTGAAAATCCCCATATTAGTTGAGGATGAGTCAATTACTTATCTAGTCATCGCTTTTTGTATGATGGAAAATAAATTAAAGGCCCATAAAAATAACACAAGTTTGATCTGGAATCAAAAGGAGCAGAGATTTACCAGGATTTTCCATTTAGCCACACAGTGATTTTACAGGATACTATTCAAAACTAAAAACTGCGAAATCATGTTGTCTTATAGAAAGATATATTGTGCGGGTTGAATTAAGAATATTTAAAAAGAAAATCTAGTCTTGTTCATGTATGTCCCAAACAGAAACACACACATTCAGCTCCTCTAAAACATAGAAAAAAAGGGGGTCATGTCTCTCCTCTCTCTAGGGCACATTCACATTCATGAGTCGACAGTACAGGTAGAAGAATCCTTTCATTTCACTCACTATCTTCTTGTGTGAAAACAGTGGTGTCGCCTTCTATCAAATTCTTATCTCAAACTTCGAAAATGCCTTTAAGCATGATAAACTTGGAAGGTAGTGTCCATTAATATAGAAGGCATTTCATCAAAATAGCCCTCCGTACGAAAGTGGAAAATGGAAAGGTTGAAGAAGAAGCAACAGCAAGGCTTCTAGACCCATATTGATCAAGAAAACCTGTTTGTTTATTGGGTATGATAAATATAAAGTACTATCACGAAGAACAAATTTGAGAGGAATAATAATTTACAAACGTACAAGAACATACCAAAAGAAAGATGAAAGGTGAAATATTTAAGCTTCTTACCTAGGCACCTGACTTTGACAATGATTCCCTGGCTCTCCAGTATAGAGTCCACATATAGACCTGAACCTGAGCAAGTAGCACACAGGACTACACCTTTCACTTGGCAATCAATGCAGGGCGGATTGGAGCCAATTTCTTTTTTGTTTAAAGATAAACCAGCTGGTTTCTCAATGATTTCCTCCGGAACGGATTTATCATAACAAAATAATGACTCAAGATTGCTTTTGCAGCTTTGTAGGTCGCGTACTGAGGTTGAATTCATCTGAAACATGAAACACGCCTTTTGAGACTCCTGGTATAAAGCGCTACTTTTACAAGGTAAACTATATAGTATATAGTATATACAATTCAGCAGTTGTCGCTTTCTACTAAAAGAAATTGCAATTGTACATAACTACATTTCTCCTGATCTATCTGCAGTTATCAAGTTCTGTTCTCAGCATTTATCTCAGAGCTACAGCTGAGGCCTATGAAAGAGGGAGGGAAAAAGTCTTCTAATCAAAAAGACTTTTTCCAAATTTGTCTCAGTTTTAGTGGATATGGCATGGATGCTTATACACTGATATGGTACAATGTGGTGTCCAACTGAATTGCAAAAAATTAAAGTTACTCATACAGGCATCAACAATTAAAGAACTTGTTCAGTATTTTATGAAGAAAAAACATTTCAATGTTATCTGTTCCTTATCACTAGAATTATTAAATATATTATACAGTGTATATACAGATACTCTATTTAGGCAGCATCTTTTTTTCTTTATATATTGCATGAAGTTGCAAACTACTTAAGTACCTTCATATTGTATTCAGAGACCAATTTGGGTATTCCCAAACAAGACCAACTCATCACAATGTAGGATGACATCAGAAGTTCAAATTTTGTTCATGAAAAAAGCCAAGATCTACCTTACATTGGTATTTCTATGATGAAGCCGTACATGTAGCCAACACATCTTGTACCCGTACTCATACCCTACACTTCTTCGACACTCCTCAAATGTATGCACACATGTATTCAAACATGTACTGAATCATACAATACATGTTTTAAAATAAAACACTCGTCATACACTTTTTAAACATATATTCTACGCTTCACTTCCACTTTCGAAACTTGTCACGCAAGGACCATGTTAGTTTTCAACTTTCAACGCATATTAAATTAAGAACTATGGTTTCAAAGTGTCTATCTCAAAATTATGATATCAACCCATGTGTTTCGGCTGTGTCCCCTTAACCTACCTTTTACAAATTTGTCGTGTCTCATATTTGCACCCGTACCCCCACCCATATTCATGCAAATAAGGCTAAGATTAATATAAATAATTTTTAGAACTCCTAAAACCATGTAATATGCAAAAAATTAATTGCAACTTTTATGCGAAACGTAATATTGGAAACAGTACAATCATATAACTTACTGCTTCTTATCCACTTAACTATTTTTTCCTCTACATGTTCCCTATAAGATTACAATTTTGTACTACTCAATTCTTTGCAGTTTACAGTCGAGAGTCTGCTCTACGGTTAAACAGTGAGTTGAAAATAATTTAACATGGATGAGGCAAATCCAATTTTGGCATCCATTGATACAGAAAAATGAAATTAGGGGCCAGTAATATCCAGATAATACTGTTAGCCCTTATGTTTTGATGATGTTTTACAACCACCATTATCGGTACTAATGGCTTATTGAGTGCAAATGTAGTAAATTCATTTATCAAGCTTGTTAGTGCCATAAATGGAGGATTGGATGGAACATACGCTACAACGATGATATCCAAAGGAGGAGGAGGCATAATGATGAAGCAATGTTATTTCAAGAACAACAAATTCATATAGAAGCTTCATCAAAATTAAAGCTATATCAAGACTCAAGAACTTTATTCTATGTGAGGATATTAGCTAGTTTTTATTTTCTCTCTAGTGCTAGAATGTAGGCAAAGAGTTATTGATTTCACTTGAAGCTATTGGGAATCACACACACGTTTTCATACTTATGTTTTTAAGCGTTTTTCACAAAATACTATTTTTCACAAGTATGAGGACCTATCTGTAAAAAAAAAATTTCCAAACAGTTTGTTTTTAGTATTAAAAACATTTTACAAAGTTTTATAATTTTCAGAGGTCAAATAAATATTTTGCAAATATTTTAGTTAAGTCAAAAATCAGTTTCTGTAATGTATCAGAATGCGGTCGACCGGACCGGTCGACCGCACATATGATCATTCGTTACTGGACTCCAGAGAGTTTGTCGGTCGACCGGCCCGGTCGACTGAAATCTCGATTTTTCTATCGGTCGACCGCGTCGGTCGACCGATGTAGTCTCTGTTTGTTTTCTGGGTTTTCAAAGTTGTTCGCGGTCGACCGGATTTTCGGTCGGTCGACCGAAGCATTTTTTCGGTCGACCGAAAATCCCTTCGGTCAACCGAAATTTTTCTTCGTTCAGCCGTGACTTTTTTCAAACGGTCGATTGCCTCGTTTGCTGTGCTTTCACTTAACCGTGTTTGGCACAGTCTGTGGTAATGGTCTGAAAAGGAGATTATTTTCTTAATTGGAAAGATTGTGTTGTGTTTTTAAAATGTTTAATCTCTTCTATTTATACCCTTTCCCCTTCATCTTCCCAGTTGCCCTGACGTTTTGCAAAAAACCAGAGAGAGACGCTGTCTTCCTGAGAAAAATTTTCAAACATGTTCTCTGTGGTTTTGTGTGTGTTCACTTCCCAGCTTCAGTAATCCTTCTCTTTGCCATAGGGGCTGTGTAAAGAGAGAGTCTTGCATCTTTTCTTCTGCTGTGTGAGTGAGATCTTGTGTAGATCAACTGTGAGGGAGTGTGATCTGTTGAGATCAAACTGTGTAGTGAGAGATCGTGTGGGATCGCTGTGTAGACGAAGTTCCGGCTTTCAAACCGGGTGTGTAGTGGATTTCTCCTCGAGAGTGGGGAGCGGGGACGTAGGTCAGCGGGCCGAACCTCGTTAACACATCGCGCGTCAAGGATAACGAACTCCTAACCCTATCTCTCTTACTTTACATTCTAGGGCTTATAGAAAAGAAATATGTAGAGAAGTCCAAAGTTGAGAACATGTCCGATGATGAAAGGCACCTTGCCAATCTCAATGCTAAGGCCATGAACGCCTTAATCTGTGGTCTTTCCCCCAATGAATACAATAGGGTTTCCACGTGTGCAACCGCATACGAAATTTGGGTAAAATTATGTATCACACATGAAGGAACCCCCCAAGTTAAGGAATCTAAGATTAGTGGGCTTATGCATGATTATGAGCTATTTAAAGTGCTTCCTAATGAATCCATTGATGCTATGTTTTCCCGTTTTACTAATATCATCAATGAATTACATGGTCTAGATAAGCAATTATCCATTCAAGAGATGAACTACAAGATACTTCGCTCCTTGACTCCGGCATGGGAGCCCAAAGCTACGGCCATTGAGGAAGCTCATGACCTCACTACCTTAGCTCTTGATAGCCTCATCGGAAAGCTCAAAGTGCATGAGAAGAAGCTCAAGGGGAAGGAGAAGGAGGAAGTGCCATCACGTGAAGTTGAGGAGCCGTCACCAAAGTTGAAGACAATAGCTCTCAAAGGAGCTAGTGACAACTCATCTTCGTCGTCGGATAGTGAAGTCGATTTTTCTAGAGAAGTGGCTCATCTCTCTAGAAGAATCTCTAGACTTATAAAAATGAACAAGAAATTTAACCCCCGATCTAACAAGTTTTTCTCTCGTGTAGGTAAATGTTTTGAGTGCAATGAACCGGATCACATTGCTAAGGATTGCCCCAAGCTCAAGGAAAAGTACATGAAGTATAAGAAGAAGAAGGCTATGTATGTCGGATGGGAAGAATCCGAACCAAGTGACTCGGATAGTGATGAAGAAGGAGCCAAACTTGCTCTTCATGACCCAAATGTTTGTTTCATGGCAAATGAACATGAGGTAATATCCGAGGCCGAAAGTGAATCTTTCTACATACAATGTGACATAACTATAGCTTTAGAAGAGTTGAATTTTGAATTTAAGAGAATGTCTAAAGAATACTCTTCTTTCAAAAAGTTGCATGCTTCTTGTGATATCAAGCTAGAGCAATTAACAACTTCTCTTGCTCTAAAAGATGAATTGCTAGGAGATCTTGATTTCGAGAATAAACAATTAAGATCAAAAATTAAAAGATTAGAAATTGAGAGTTGTAGAACTAGACCCACTCATGTTTATGCTAACTACAATCACCATGATAGAAATAGGTTTCATGGTTCTAACATTCGTACATACAAAAAAAATTTTGTATGCACTTATTGTATGAGACATGGACACATTTCTACTCATTGTAGAATTAAAGACAACCAAGATTTTTATGGATTGATATGGGTACCCAAAGGTACCAAAACTACTAACCACCAAGGACCCAAGACTTGGGTACCTAAAGCTACTACATCTTCATCTTCATTTTTTGTAGGAAACATCACGGCAACGACATAAGGAGATGTGGTACCTTGATAGTGGTTGCTCACATCATATGACGGGCAACAAAGAGTTATTTGCAACCCTATCAAGGATTGAAGGAGGCAATGTCTCCTTCGGTGGAGGTGAGAAAGGTAAAATTATTGGTATTGGTTCTATTGGTAAGAAACCATCACCCATTATAGAAGATGTTTATTTAGTAAATGGTTTGAATCATAATCTTCTTAGCATTAGCCAATTAAGTGATAAAGGTTTTGATATTTCTTTTAAACCGGATAAATGCATCATTATTATGGATGGAAAAATTGTTTTTATTGCTAATCGCAAATCTAATGTATACATTTTTGAGATGAATGAACTAGTGAATCAAGATGTGAAGTGTCTTGCGGCAATTGATGAACACCCTTGGATTTGGCACAAGAGACTTGGACATGCAAATATGGAGTTAATATCAAAATTGTCTAAGAAAAATCTTGTAAAAGGGCTACCTAGCTTGCACTTCATTAAAGATACAATTTGTGAGGATTGTGCGTTTATTTAGTAAATGGCTTGAATCATAATCTTCTTAGCATTAGCCAATTAAGTGATAAAGGTTTTGATATTTCTTTTAAACCGGATAAATGCATCATTAGTATGGATGGAAAAATTGTTTTTATTGCAAATCGCAAGTCTAATGTTTACATTTTTGAGATGAATGAGTTAGTGAATCAAGATGTGAAGTGTCTTGCGGCAATTGATGAAAATCCTTGGATTTGGCACAAGAGACTTGGACATGCAAATATGGAGTTAATA